ATACAAACAATAGAAAGTAGACAAAATTAAAAACCTGTTAAAAAGTTAGTTGTCCTTGCAAAAGTGCTCTATAAAAAACTGAAGGCAAATGACCAAGCACATTTTAGTAACTTTTGTGTACTGCAAACCTTGATAATTATGCATGCAACTATCTTCAGGTGTTCATGGATTTTTAGTGTCTGTTTGGTCACATTTTAAACATGAAACTCCACCACAGCAGTACCTTTACAAATATAAATCAGGAGTATTACAGATTAGAAGTTTTGTAAGAAACATACCTTAGGAATCAAGCCTGTGCTACACATTGTGTCCAGCAGTTTCTAACATGTGTCATTTATGGACCCAGATGCACTTGAAAAAAAACATAGTTGGTTCCAGGTCTTGCTAATGAAAGCAAGATTTCCCCTGAGACTATGAGCATTTACTTTTATACTTTAACAATTAACTTTTTAGATGTTTTACTTTGGAAAATACAAATAGTTTTTACTATCATTCCAGTGTAAAAATTTACCAAGATAGGAATAATTTGGTAAAAATTCATGTGTTTTTCTTTTCTAAAATGTAAACTTCTCAAGTAATATTTGTATAGTTAGCATAGTGTAGTAACAAAGGTGATGATTATGAAAAGAGTAAGAGTTACTTCAAAATACTTTAAGAACATTAGCAAAAGATGGTGGAGTACAGTTACACAAGAACAAACAAGTATCTAGAACATTGTTTTAGCACACAGAAGTACGGACACAGAGACTTTTCTTGTGAAGGAAAGGCAGTTGTTATTCATGCCATGCTTGAAGGCAACTCTCCGATGACCTTCCCTATAAGAGGAAATAAAGGTTTATTAAATGCTGTCTTCCTAAGCTGACACATTTCTCTTACAAATTATAGCAGAAAAGCGCCTTTGCACTGAGAAAAACTGAATAACCACTTTCCTTTGTTGGATGTCGACATCCTTCAATATTATAAAAATTTTAAATTGGCTTTTCAACTATTGCTCTCATTTTTAATGATCCTAAGACAACTAAATAATAAACTAGATAATTGATCTATAAGCAAAAGATGGCTAAATGACCTCTTGGACTGAGCTATGCATTTCTAAAAATACCACAAATTAACCATCAAACTCAAACTTGAGAAAATACTTTGTATCCTGTAATCAAACTTGAATCCTAGAAATATATACATAAACACACTCACAGAGATTTTAAAAAAAAAGTAGAAAGGCTGCTTCAATAACAGAGGAATACATGCAACAGTCACTATCAATTTTATCTTATTTGCAAGAACAATTACAGGTAGCACCTAAATTAAGACAATCTTCTGGTTTCCCCCTTGCCAAGTTTTTCCCAAAGAGCATCTCATGCTCAGTTGTTCTCTCTCTTCAGGTTCAATCCTGTTTTGTCAGATCTATGCAGCAACAATCAAAACTGTGCTATTGATAAGGCACAAGCAGAACCACAAGCTCAGGAACCTTGGTAGTGGGAAGGGAAAAATTTTACAAGTAGTTTACGTTCTATTTTAAATTCTGCCCTTAAACAAAACATTTTCACTTTGATAGCACTCTCAAAGAAAGAGCAGAACTCAGCGGTTCTTCCTCTCTGCAGTTTTTTCAGCTCTTTAGCAGAACTATTTTTATTTTTTTGTTTTAAATAAGAGTTACTCCTTCTAAATTTCCTACTTCAACATTTGTCGTGCAGAAGAAATAAGATTTTTCCAACACAACTTATGCTGTGATCCTGCCCAAGACGACTAGTACACGTGGCCTTTCTTCCTCCTGTCGCAATCCCTGACATCTGCGTGACAGACAGGAGAGACAAGAGCAGGAATCACAGAACTGGATCCCAAAGATTTGCAAACGCTGGACGGTCGGACATCCACCCACCCACCCTGCAGGTGTTACGCAGGTCCAGGCAATGCAGAGTGCTTAGGCAGATGGAGTTTAGGGAGCATCTCATCTTTTAGACCTGTGCTGAGAAAGGTTAAGGAGGAAGTGATACAGATTGCCTCGGCTCCCCTCTGCTTCCACCGCTTTTGGTGCTGTAGCCACAGTAACAACAGGCAGAGCCAAATGAACTGCGACATGATGTTGAAGATAAAATGTATTTTAACAAGGTTCCTGCTTAAGCTGACAGCTAGTCATCAAAACACAGGCAAGTGCCATGGCTTTGTCCCACTTCTTCAAGCTGGGTAGGTGACTGTTTTTCATGTCTGGCTGTGTCAAACACAGTTGTGTTTCACAGACAGTTTTCACTATTTTAGGTGCTGCTAATGACCCTACAGCTGCTTAAACACAAAAAACGACCAACCAAACAAAAAAACAACTCAAACAAAACACCTCTAGAAAAAGCTTCAATTGCCACACCTAAAAAAAAAAACAGAAAACAATTTGTAGAGCCATCAGAGAACTGACAAACACTTTTGCTACCAAGAACCCGACATTAAAACAACTACCACCACATGTCCTTGTCCTTTCTAGGGCTTGATGTTCAAATCAGAGTTGCTGTGGTATCTGTGACTTTATTACCTGATTTCAGAGTAGAGCACAGGATCGGGGTTCTCGAAAGGGATTGCTCCCTGCAGGAACCCCAACAAGCAAGGCATCTTTGCAGGCATTTTGCATACAGTACTGTTGGAGTTCTGCAGCTGCCTGAGAGACCTGTGTTAAGGAAAAAGAAAAACAAATCCAGAAAGGAAACTAATTCATTCACAAGCACCTATTAGGCATTTCCTCTTGAAGAACCATTACCAAACAAAGCTGGAGACCAGCCAAGTCAACTCTTGGATTCTAAAACACCAAGTGAATCAGCACAGAAACACATTTACAAAGCTTCAATGAAACATGCATGAAATGCTACACCAGTGATGAGCCAGAGGAGTGTGGAGGACTGAAGTGAAAACATGATGGAATTCGTCCTCATTAAAATGCACAGGGCCATGACCAAAATATTTTCCAATCTACTGTACCATTTTCAGGTTTATATTTCAACCTTTATATTCTCAGGTATTTACAAAAAGGATTTTCATTTCCAAGCTGTTAAGCAGCACAGAGCATAACAAGGAATGAAAGCCAAAAGATGAGAATGAAAAGCTTTTTAAATCCAAATTGCCACCTTGCCCTGGCAGTGAAGTGAGAGCTTCAAATCCACACTCTGGTCCCCAAAGAGGACAGTCCAGAGCTGGAGAACAAGCCCAGGAATCCAAAGGCAAGATGCTTCCAGCAGTTAACTCCCCTGCTCTCCCTGCGGATGGCAAGTCAGTTGCGCGCCTGTATTTTTTTAAGGAAAACATAGGAGAATTCCCAATATCTCAGACACGCATTGGTAACAGCTGCAGGCAACTGTCAAAAATCCATGCTGTCCACTATGTTTTTTCTAAAAGGAAATACTGAGCATCCTGGTATGAATACGAGTTGCCCTCCGACCTCACCTCTGCCTTCACTAAAAGACTCCAGAAATACTGATTTTTCTTCCTACATAACTTTTCAGTGATGCCAGTGGAGAGATGAGACAATAGCCAGAAGGACCATCCACGCTTCCCAGCCTCCCGATTGAAGAGGCCACCCAGGACCCCTGATGGGACTTTAGTTCTGAGCCATCTCATCTAACAGCATCTGGAAGTGCGTGGGAAACCTGGCCCAGCGCTCGCTCTCATTTGCTATTTCACTGCTGTCCTGTTCACTGCCTCCCAGCTCTGCTCCAGGACACTCCTCCTGGTACCAGCTCAAATTTACCTGGCAGCTCTCAGCATTTCAGGGAGCTGTTAAGAGAAGCATTTTTGCACAGTCTCTCAGGTTCTCTTGAGCAGAGTACTGGGAGGAGCATCTGCAGCAAGGGTCCCTGCTAGTCAGTGGGCTTTGTCACACTTCCCTTATCATAGAATGGTTTGAGTTGGAAGAGACCTTAAAGACCACCTAGTTCCAACCCCCCTGCCATGGGCAGGGACACCTTCCACTACTCAGGTTGCTCAAAGCTCCATCCAGCCTGGCCTTGAATACTTCCAGGGATGGGGCACCCACAACTCCTCTGGGCAATCTGTTCCAGGGCCTTACCACTCTCACAGTGAAAAATTTCCTCCTTAGATCTAATCTAAATCTACTCTCTTCCAGTTTAAAGCTATTACCCCTTGTCCTATCACTACATGGCCTTGTAAAAAGTCCCTCTCCAGCTTTCTTTTAGACCCCTTTTAGGTACTGGAAGACTGCTATAGGCACAGAAATGAGACTGACTGGCCTATAGTTCCCTGGGTCTTCTTTTTTTGCCGTTTTTAAAAATGGAGCCTATATTTCCCCTTTTCCAGTCAGTGGGAACTTCACCAGATTGCCAAGACTTCTGAAATATGATGGATAGTGGCTTAGCAACTTCATCTGCCAGTTCCCTCAGGACTCACGGATGCACCTCATCGGGTCCCATGGACTTATGCACCTTTAGGTTCCTTAGATGGTCTCAAACCTGATCTTCTCCTACAGTGGGTGGTTCTTCATTCTCCCTTGGGCCGTGCAGCTGGAGCACTTGCTGGTGAAGACTGAGGCAAAAAAAAAGTTGTTGAGTACCTCAGCCTTTTCCATATCCCGGGTAACCAGGCCTCCTATCTCCTTCTGCAGAGGGCCCACATTTTCCCTCATCCTCCTTTATCACTGACATACTAGAGAAGTTTTTCCTGTTTCCCTTGATGTCCGTGGCCAGATTTAATTAATTCTATCACGGCTTTAGCTTTTTTAACCTGGTCCCTGGTTGCTTGGACAATTTTTCTGTGTTCTTCTCAGGCTAGTTGTCCTTGCTTCCACCCTCTGTAGGCTTCATTTTTGTGTTTGAGCTTGTCCAGGATCTTGTCCACGCAGACCTCATGGTGTTTCTCTCCAACTTCCTCTTTGCTGGGACGTACCACTCCTGAGCTTGGAGAACCTCTTTCTGTAGGCTGCAAAGGTCTCCCACCCTGCCCAGCCCCTTGGATGCCCTGCAGCAGTAGCACCTGTGCCTCAGCCGCAGTGCTGACCCCTTGCTGGTACCTGACTATGCACCACATGGCTATCAGGCAAAGGTGCCACTTGCCAACACTGATCAGGCCAAGGCTGCCTGGAGTTGTTTCCTGGGAAAATGAGCCATTCAGGGCACGGCTTGCCCTGCCAGCGCAGCACAATTAGCAGTTCCTCACTGTGTCTTGTAGCACTTTGCTGCCGAGCTCTGCAACATTTACTGAGCTCTATGCACATCCTGGTGCTCCTGACAAGATACAAACCTGATTTTTGGCATCTGCATGAGAATTATCCATACAGCAGCAGACTGTTGCTCCAGGACAGATCTGCCTACTCTTAGCCCTACCCATGCTCCTATAAGGTTCTTCACTCCTCCAGCTCACATAGAAAGTACAAGGCTCCCTGCAGCTGCCTCCTGCATGCAAGATGTGTGTGGGTACTTCTTTTCTACTTGGTTTCCTCTTTCTGAAAATATTGTTCCTGTCTGCTTTTTCAGCTGGCAGGGTAAACAAAATCACCATTAGAACTCTGCAGTATGGGATGTATTTTTAAAAGTCCTTTCATATCCAGCTTCCTTCTGAAACACATTGTCTATTCAAAGCAGCCAAAAAAAACCCCAAACATTTTCTCCTACCTCAGTGTCTGCTAAATCTGATCCAAGTGGGTTTTCACCAGCTGAATATATTCCTCACTGTTTTTACACTGCATGTTAAGAAACCCAGATGACACTTTATAAGACGCATTTTCAATCATGCATCATTTCACTTGTGAGAAAGACATGAACAGGTTCCTAGAACAGCAGACCTGGAAAGAGACTGCAATGCACAATGCTGCAAGAAAGACAAGACCAAGGTCTCATCAAGGCCAAACCTCCCTGAAGTACAAGCAAACCCATAATAAATATATAGCCTTGAGACATCCACAAAATAACTCCCAAGAAGCTACAAACTATTTTTTATACCCCCTTCCTACTCAAAAAAGAAAAAAGTGGGAAGGAGGTATACGCTTCAAAACAAGCAGGAACAGAGAGCTGGTGGTATAAAGCAACAGAAATGTTTAGTCAACCATTTGTGATTGACTAAAATCAAATGAAATGGTTGACAAAACATTTCTATGTTAGGCTTTAGCTTTTATATCCCTCTTGCCACAAAGAGCTTACATTTCTACTCTGTGTTGTGCCACTTCTGACAGATTCCCACACATCATTGCAGTGATAAACTACAAACTACAGTCACTTCTAGTGAATCAAACATTTGCCGACTCATTATTTGCTAATAAAATTTAGTAACATTAATGAATTGATCAGGATGACGTCCAAAAGCCATAGTGGTTTTTCACCTTGCAATGGGCTTCAAATTTTCACCAGTCCATGACAGGAATAGAAAGAGAAGGTATTCTAAATTATTTTTAAATCAATTAGCTAAGTTTCTGCAGCTCAGTAGACTGACACTGTCATCAGACTAAGGAAGCTGGTGTTTTGCGACTGGCCAGAGAAAAATGGCGACCATGAGAGAAGAGAAAAGTGCAGGATACAAATTAATTTGACCTTCATCACTTCACAAGCTATGCCGGATTTTTTGCACGGCTGGAAAGAGCCGTTTTCGTGAAGCAGCTGTAGACACACACCCACACCCACCTCCCCCCGCACACACACACACACGCTGGGAACCAAGATCTGTCTTGGACAGGTCTGCGTGGGTGAATGTGGGCTGCCAGAGCAAAAAAAACCAACAACAACAAAACCCAACCCAACCAACCAACCAAAAAAACCCCAAACAAATAAACGAAAAAAAAATAAATCTAAGGAGCTGGCAGACGACAGGAC